CACTCAAATGCAGCACCCATACACCATACTCAGACTCACATCCTGCTAATGTTAATTCGTAGAACCAAATATTGTTTATATTTCTAGTTAGTGTATAAGGGCATGGGTGTGAATATGAGTGCATGGGACTTTTTATTCATCCCCATCAACATCCACACCCAACTAATAGCGGATCTTTTGGCATCAAGTCTCAGAAATCGAATATGCTGTACACGATGAGCTAGGTTAAAACCAATTCGGAGAACATCGGTGAAACCTGTCACACATAGGGTGGGACTATTGACTCTCATAGTCACAACCCTCACTCGCTTATCTTTGTGCTAGAAGTGAGCAGAAGCACAACTGAGAAACTTTGCAGCTGCGACTCATTCTTATTTATTTCGTACGGAAGACGTTTTTTGATCAATTGAGTGATGACTCTGATTTATGCCGTCGTTTTTCTCACACTTGTTACGACTGCCCTCGCTTTTGGTGAGTGACATGTGTACTGATATCTTAAATAAGCTTCCTATGTCATGTTAAAAGACTGTTCAATATGCGAGCTCTGGGGTCATTTTATACCAGCCAATGGTTATGATTGTTATGAAAACTTAAGTGGAACAGTTATTTGTACATGTCCTGATCAGCAGTTTCGAGTGAATCAACGCTGTCGTAAGTTACTATTCAAGGCCCTGGTTTCTAACCATGTGTTTCAAAATTCGCTTGTGTCAAATAATTTCATATAATACCAGTTTTTGATTAAATCTAATTGAGTATGTTTTTTTCTTATGAAAATTACCATGGTCAAGTTTTTATTTGTGAAGAAAAATATCTCAGCTACTCTTGAAAGCTACCCGTAACTACTGAAAAGCGAAATATCACTTTTTTCCTATTGCCAAAACTACTCATCAGAAAATACTGCAACTATTTTCGCGATAACAATCTCAACTTTTGTTTATAAATAAAGCTCGATGAGACTAAGAGAATCCTAGAGAGATAGATATATATGTTTTCATGGCATAGTACTCAATAGTAAGGGATGTTAAACTGAATATTCAGTGCACAGTAAGATATTCTCCAGAAAACTAAATTAGAGACTTCACCTGAAGTTTTCAATAAGAGAATATATTTCTTTCCAGTGGTTCGGAAGAGAATGGGCGATAGTGACAATTTGAGGTTGGAGAGGGTATGCCAGTGTTGGTGGATGTAGATAAGTACAGATGAAGAGGAGACCTTCAGCTAAAACCTCTCACCCACCAACATTCAATGTCACCCATCCCCAAACTCCACACCCACTCCGAAAAAATCACAATCATTCAAGTTTAATTAAATAGTGGAGTTATGCGAAATTATTTTACACAAGCCACTTTTGTGATACATTGCACACTCTGCCTTAAAAGGACTCTGTGATCGTGAAAGCACATGCGGAGTATCTGGAGCGATTTGTGTTGAACAACCATTTCCTGGAAATTATACATTCGGCTGCTTTTGTCCCAATTCCATTGCATCGATCGGCCGTCCATGCTCGAAAGATACAAGTAAGTTGATATTGTGTTTGCGTTAAGAGTCGTTCTATTAAAATTCCTGATATTGCTCGGAAATATACAGGATGTTCCAAAAATCTGTCGCGAAAAATACTTGAATATCTTCGTCATTTCTTAACTATAATTCAAAGTTGATTTTTTTGGTTGGCGGAGAAGCGTTCCAAGTCTTACTAAATTTCACTGAAAGTTTTGTATAAAACTAGTTGGTACGGCAAAATAGCAATACTTATGATGCATGTTTCTTCTAAACGTATTTTTCAAAGTGAATAAACACTATTGAACCCGTAGCAATTGAATGGAATAGGGTGTGGGTGGATGGGGATTGGGTCAAAGCGTTAGTAGACCCTTGTTCATCTATCCACACCACGCCCACCCATACTCACCTATTCATATTGGACCACACACTCTTCAGCGTTCACATATTCTCACACATCAAATTCATGTTGATGTGATAACGGCGAGGAAGAGCCGGAGCGTCTTTAAAAGATGTAGATAAAGTGTAATGAAAACAAAATGAAAAATAATTATTGGAGAAAAAGTTTTGTCTCTTCTCATGGACCATATCTATTAATTTGAAATGGAGAGTTTGTGATTATATCTAGCAATAGATAAAGACACAGAGAACTGTTGAATGTTCATCAGAGACAGAAAAAAAAATGAAAAATTGATCGTTCGATTTGGCTCATTTCCGTAGAACGTTGAATATGTTGGGATCTTCATAGGGTATATCAATTCTTGTGTGTCAGCTCTTCATTTCGGATGTTCATTATATTATCGACTGATTCTTGTAAAAATTAAGTTCAATAGACAGCATTTTTTTAAAAACAACTTCGATTGACAGCTAGTGCACAAGAAAACGTATTTATAATCCTGTCTCTCCGATTTCTAATGAGTAAATACGTCACAGTGAGCGATTAACGCATTAGCAGATGAGCACTTTGTTTGAAAGGTTAAAATCACATCCTTCATACTTTGAATAACGATCTTGTATTGACACAGCAACTAGTGCACAAAAATCGTTGCTCGTATTCAAAATAGAACAGAGGCGACGAATTTAAATAGAATCAGCTTTCACTTTAGTCTCAGAAACGCTTGCATCAACCGTTTCTCGGCTAGGTTCACCTAATTTTAATTGCTTTTGACAAGTTTCCGCGAGAAGAGCTCTACAGGTCAAACAAATAATCTATAATGCTCTAGATGAGATGCGCTTTTTTGTCGCATAAGTCTTTGATTTATTTCTTAGAGTTCTCAAAATCAAGAAAGCAGACTCGAAGAGTCCAATTCAATTCTATTTGATTCAATCGAATCATACGGCATCGAATCGTCGACAGTTTTACTTGACTTCGGTTTCCGAAGAACACAGTGATTTTCCGTCAAACATCAAGTTTTGAAAGAAAAACTTCGATTAGGAGATCGTTTGAGGTCGTCTTCCCACTTTGAAATACTGCTTAGACTTCATCTAAAGCTTAAATGCTTCGAGTTCTACATTGCACTCTATGTCAGACCTAAACTACCTGCTTTGTTTACATAAATTTTTCTTTAATAATGAATAGCAATGAACACTTCAACAACAACAACTTCAATGCCAACTACAACGACAACTGGAAGAACTACTCAGCAGCTTGGTATGCATTAAATTAACGCTTGTCAATCTTGACAAATTTTAATTTTTACTGAAGTATATATAGTTCCTTTGTATACAATATTACTCTGCAGCTAGTTAAAGGTAACATTGATAAGATCAGCAATCTTATATTATGAGTGATTAAATCTTAATAATAAGAAAAAAAATCAATTAATAGTAATCCCCATGTTGATTATTTTTCGTCACTATTGAATTTTACTTCTGTTTATTGATATCTACAAAACGAAATCCATCCTTTCTCTTCGTTTGATACAACTATATATGTTGCCTTTCAAACAAAGATACTTTATTTCAATTTAATAAAACATTTGACTTTAGATATTATAAAAATGCACTATATTCTAAAGGACTCCTCCCTTTCTTCCCAATCTGAATTCAGACAATCTTAAAGTCTAGTGTCTCAATTCTGCGAGAAACATTTCTTGAAGCATTTTATTCATAGTTTTAGCTATCAAGATCGCAGAGAATCTCTTTTTAATTTTCGGTAAAGAGTAAACATTCCACTGCCGAATGATATAAGATTAACATATTGACTCGTGTCCTAGAGGATCTTTAGTAATGACTCACTAAAAATACATAAGATATTGAAATAATTTAAAAACAACGTTCTAACGATTTCTTTGACACGTTAAATTAAGTATTTTTATTTGTTTTCGGCGCAAATTTCATGATTGTTACTGTGTCGAAGGGCTAAAACGTATATTAACACGGAATATTCGTTAAGAAAACATAGTTTTACTCGTATTTTCTCGTTCTTTTAAAGCAATTCAACGTGTTTAGATGTAGAATCTTTATTCCAATTACTTGTGTTTCTATGAACATATCTAATATGAAAATTATTATTTATAGACTATTCTGATTTTTTTTTAATCAGAATGACAAGTCAATTTTTTAACAATCATTAAAAAAAAAGATATTCTTAAAGACGTACGACTACTTTTTTCTCTCCATACATGTGCGAGTTAATAACTGTTTCTATTATCTATTTGTTTACTTTGTTTATTTATTATTTTTCTCAAAGAGTTCAAAATGTAATTTTGATCTATTTGCAATATAGCATAGTTATTACTGTATTTTTTCCTTTCTTATTTCTAATACTTGTACGATCTTTTATTCTTATCATGTTAAGAATCTATTGCCAATTTATTTGACGATCAACTTTTCTTAGAACTATCGAAAATTATTGCTGTTTTCATTTCTGTATGGATAAGTATTTTGAAATTCTGAATATTTAACATTGTTAGAAGAAAAATAAAACAAGTCTAACGCTGATAAAATAGAAAATTAACTACGTTTGTTTTGTTTTCATCATCTTGCAAATGAATAAAGAATTCTCACTAAATAGAATCGATTGAATTATATAAGAGTATGTTTTCCTTCATCTGTTAATGTTAAGACACCTTTCTATTTATCCTATGATTGTGGGAGAAATCTTTATGTTTCTCTCTGCATCCGCTGATTTTGCTCAGAGGTAGACAAATACATAGATTATCCATTAAAACTAAAACAATCATATGATTTGCTAACTTTTTTTCTTGCAATGAACGAATACATTGAAATTCTAAACCACTTTTTATGAGTTTCGTTTTTGTTCGATCTTCCATTTTGATACTATTTAATTTTCGGAAGACATTGAAGTTAATGCAATCTTAATGATATTGATATATTTAAGAAAGATTCTTGAAACCTAATATTAAAATATTGAGTTAATTGTATAAAAAATTAACGTAAATTATCCTAATAGTTTTATATACTCAAACAATGACTACCATAAAAATCGAATATCTTCCTCTAGACAAGCCAAACGCAGCCTATATTTTAACTTCGTTATTTTGACGACGAGAACTTTAATTTAACGTTTCCCCTCCCCTTACCAAACTCAATTTTTCGAAGAGAAACCGAAATTGAGTTTTTTTACATAGGAAGCTGCGCTGAAGCTTCCTCTTTCCGAATATATGTAGTTTTTCGCAAAACGATGAGATTTTCACGGACTTATCGATGAAACTTCGACCCTATTATCATGTTTTTCGAGAAAGGAAGTATGCCAAACTGCGGACATAGCATCTTAAACAATTTCAGCCTATTTTTATTATCCTGAGAATCAGCATTCTTCTCTAATTTTTGCATTTTATCACAACTCAATTTTTTGACACCTGGGGTCCCTTTCAAGCTTTGAAAAAGATTTTTTTCTCGGTATGCCATCAGAAGTCTTTCTAGTTCCATAGTGCTATGTGTACTGATTACAAATATCATATTATTTTTTAAAAGTCCTTGGATAATAAAAAAGATCTGAAGTACTCTCTGGAAGCCGTAAAAACTAATTTTGGACCTGAAAGTGCATCAAAATCCGAATTAAGATGGTCGCAAATAAGCTCATTTCATAGAGAATTTCATTCTCTATCAGAATTTATAAGAACATCTTAGACATCCGAACGTTTTTCCATCGATAAATGCCAAACACCGCCCCAATTGGGTCATTTTGGCACAAATAATGATTTTTCGACTGGTTCGAAGTTATTGTTTTTCTCAGTGCACCAGCTTGATCTTTCTGGTGACGCCATTCTCAGTTTGAAATTCGATGTCTTAAGAATCACTTTTGTTCCCACTACTGTGCTGAACATTCAGTTTGCCTCTTTTTAGACAGTTTTCGAGTAGAAAGTACTTAGTTTGACCTTTAAAAAATGTCATATTTGAAATCAGGTCCCCCTTAGAGATGGCCAAAAGATGAACTTTATGAAAAAACAGTTTCGGCAATGGAAAGTAAGTCCGGACTTGTAAAATGCTATTTTTAGAGAAATTGCGACCAGCTTAGTTCGGATTTTGATGGACTTTCAGGTCCAAAACTAGTTTTTACGGCTTCCAGAGAGTACTTCAGATCTTTTTTATTATCCAAGGGCTTTTAAAAAATAATATAATATTTGTAATCAGCACACATAGCACTATGGAACTAGAAAGACTTCTGATGGAATACCGAAAAAAAATTCTTTTTCGAACCAACGCTCATATTTCAGGTGTCAAAAAATTGAATTGTGATAAAATGCAAAATAAATTTGTAAAAAATAATCAGAGAAGAATACTGATTCTCAGGATAATAAAATTAGGCCGAAATTGTTTAATATGTTATGTCCATGGTTTGGCACACCTCCCTTCTCGAAAAAGATAGTGAATACCAGAAAAAGCTTATAGATGGTGTTAGTTGATTTCACTCGTTCTATAATCGGAAAGATTCTGCCCAAAAATACCGTAGATAGATCATTTTCGTCAGTTTTTATCTAGTTTTATCGAGTTTAAATTAAAAAACTGATTTCTAAACTCATTTATCGTTTTTCTCAAAACACGTTTTTTAGTAAGAAAAATTGAAACTCATCTCATGTACTTCAAGACAGAACCGATAGTTTTTTTATTATCGAGAGGATGGGCATTTTAGCCTATTTTTTTGACCCTAAGTCCACTAAAATATTTATATTGCACGAACGGAGACGAATTTTAAAATTCTGTTCGGACAAAAGTTGACTATTGCTATTGATTTTAATTTGAAACGACTCCGAGTTCTATATCTCTCATAATAGCAGAGCCCTATGGACTACGTTCTAGTTGGACGTATGCAGCTGAAACTTTTACCACAGATGTTTCTCACTAAGGCCACTCATTCCTGAAAATTTTAGCTCGATCAGACCTTGTTAAGTGGAACATCGATTTTCGGGGAGGAGCACCTCTTAACCTGAATATATCCCATTTTTCTCACGGACAGTACAAATACCTCCATTGTCAGTTTCGCATGCGCGTTAGTCCAACAAACGGGTCTAGCCAAGAGCGTATCACAATTGTCATTCGAACAGCTTGAAACAAGTTCGCTAATATCTAGTGAAATCTCACTGGCATCTTCAATACGAATGTGTAGGATACCCTTCGGAAGATCTGTATTAACCATCAATAACATGATGTGATTAGGAATTGTATCCCATCACGTATAAAGCATCCTTAAGATTCTCGAAAAACACAGAAATTATATGTTCTCAGGATTTTGTCAGTTTAAGAGTTTCATATAGTTCATTATTTCATTACTTAAACTCTTGTCTGATGTTCATATAAATAAACATGGAATTAGCATTACTCTTTCTCGGAAAAATATCCTTACAGCAATCTCTAAGTGTAGTTTTTTGGATCAAAAAGATTTTGGCAAGAACTAAAAGTGACATAGATGTAAGAATCGTTATGAAATCCTTCTTTTCTATACGGAATTAGGGAAAGACTTCTGAACTTTTATCTACGAAATGAGCATTCTCGAAGATGAATGTCGTATTTGTAGCGCTTGCTCCCACGAGAGACGGAATCTCTTCGACAACGACGACTCCTTTGTTTTTCGTTCATTGTAGTAATTCCCAATATTCCAGTTGATGCCCGATGGGCACAGAATGGAGCGACTGTTGCTGGAGGCCATGGAAAAGGCAATGCCACCAATCAACTCAACAATCCTTATGGTCTCTTCGTTGATGATGATCAAACAATGGTCATTGCTGACACACACAATGATCGTATCATCCAATGGAAGATGGGTGATACGAATGGACAAGTAGTAGCTGGTGGCAATGGTGAAGGAAAACGACTGGATCAATTATATCGACCAACCGATGTTTTGATCGACAAAGAGACTGATAGTCTCATTATTTGTGATCATGGAAATCGTCGAGTCGTACGATGGTCTCGTCGTAGTGGTACAACTCAAGGAGAAATCCTCATCGACAACATCGTTTGTTTTGGATTGGCCATGGATGATCAGAGATATCTCTATATCTCTGACACCGGAAAACATGAAGTAAGACGATGTCAAATAGGAGACAAGAATGGAATTATCGTGGCTGGAAGCAATGGCAACGGTACTGATCTCAGTCAACTCAACTTTCCGATCTCCATCTTTGTCGATCAACAACAGACTGTCTATGTGTCAGACTGGAACAATCATCGTGTGATGAAATGGAATAAAGGTGCAAAAGAAGGAATTGTCGTCGCTGGAG